TTTTAAACAATATAAAATTAAATCAACATAGAACATAAGGAAAACTGTACTATATTAAAGTTATATTAATTTCAAGCTTCATTATTCATTTTTGACTCTTAATTATCTTAAGAACTTCAGTTTTCTCTTAAATGCTAATACTTCCTTTAAAAATTTGTCTGGAGAATTAAGTGAGCATTAACATGGATTTTTCTGAAAAATGAAGCACAGTGATAGAGAAAAAGAATTGAAGGCTAATATGCAAAAAATTTTCCTTATAAAGAGCTATTAAAATACTAACAAACAGCTTCATGCTTAAGTTTCTAAATCAGAGTGGGAAATCAACCAATTGTTTCATATAATTAATATGATATTTTCTTAAATTGGTGAACTATTGTCATAAATCAATGAAATATTGAGTAGTCTTTATTCTATTTTTTTTTAGAATAAGTATTTATCTTAAAAAAATCTTAGGATTTCTAAATGATCCAATCACATATTTCTATGGAAGAGATGAACATCAATTCCAGATATTTTCTTTTTTCCTCCACTATTCAAGAGAACAATGTGGTAAAAGTGTGGCTATTTGGAATTTTAGTCAAATGGCCAAGATATAGTACCACAAAGGCACACACTTTGAAGACAAAACAGAATTTGAAAAGACTAAGATGTTCTGAGACTGTAAAAAAGTGTTAAGTGCAGCAGAGAAAGACCAAGATTTGATTTTCTTTGCCAAAAGCACACAGATACACTTTTCTATATTTCAACCAAATTCACTTGACACAGACCACTGCAAGAATTCTAAGATAACACCAGCAACTAAGCCTCCTCTGAGAGATTCATTTCTAAGTTAATAATCATGGTCAAGGCCCAATAGCCCAAAATGAAAGAAGAAACGATGCAATAGGCCTTGCAGTGTAATGCTACAGTAGATAAAAAGAAGAATCAAAGTCATTCAGAGAGAGGTCACCAAAGATGAAACCAGAGTGGAGTGTAGGTTTAAAATATTTATTTGAAAGCTCATCTCAGTCCCTTCCATGAGCTATTTTCTGTTTTTCTAAATGACTTCTCTCACCCTCAAAATCAGCATCTCTTTATTCTTCATTTCCAATTTCATCTTTATACTCTCTTTACCTTATTTCTTTCTAGTATTTTCTGCTTTACTCAGTATTGTTTGAATTTTCTTTCTAAAACTTACATGCTTTTGTTCAGTTTAAAAATCTTCTCTATGGGTCTAGAGAACCAGTCTCTTAATCACTTTGCTATCTAAGTACTATGCACACAGTAATGTATTGATTCTATCCCTTCATTACAGTTTGTTGCATATGTATGTTTTCTAGGAAATAGAGTTTCAGAGATAAATAACTACCTAGTATTAATTTTCATATTTCTTGTACAGGGGCATTACAGAGCAGAAATTCAATATAGACTCACATATTGAATTAAAAGAATCTAACATTTTCATTATTCACTGTAAATTCTTATGTATGGTCTATTTGACGTATAATTTTTTAGCAATGATCTTATTTTACTCTTATAAGAAATGTCCCTATAAGCACTCCTACAAAATTTATTAAACTTATTTATTTAAAAAACATACAATGTAATGTCTGTCAATTCCTACTGATTACTTGGACAACGAATAAAATAATAATGTAATTATCCAAAATAACAAAAAATGACAACATGCATGACTTTTATTATAAAATGCATTTCATATCATACAACAAAATGCATGTGATATATATCTTTATTACGCTTCAATATACTTAAACATTCATATTTTCAGCATTTGACTCAAAGTAAGATAATGAATTTATATTAGGTGACAATTATTATTCTTATGTATGACTTCTTTAGGCACAATCACCAATCTTAATGCATTTAGCT